CTCAGGGTTAGACTGCTGCTCTTCATTACAGTGGGTGTTTCAAACAACCATTAATGTAAGGGCCAGATTCCCTTTAATTTATTTTAACCTGCAAGACATTATGGATAGGTGTTTTAAGATAGATTAAACAGAATATTGATTTTAGGTTGTCTTGCTTTGCTATTCAATAGTGAACATACAATATGTGAATTTGATTTGCTCAAGGTAGCAAAAGAGCATTCATGTTTCCCAAAGACTATTTGCAATTGTAATTTAAACCCTGATTAAAATCAGTGAGTATTATGATTATATAAAATATGTTGAATGCTTTTTCATGTGAATGTACTTTAGCATCAGGGCAACCTGGTTTTCCAGTCAAATTTCAAATTTATTGACATTTTAAAGCCAAAAGCACCTCCTTGTTTTTATTATTAATTTTAAACAAAGTTTAATTCTCCTGTCAAGATATTTATTTTGTGTCCACTTACTGTAGTTTTGGTTACTAATTATATTAATGAGATTGAAATGAAATGGAGAAAAAATCTTATGGTGCCTTGTATGGTAATTTGTACGCTACCATATAATATATGTTATGAGAATGAGTGAAAAACTGATCTGAAATGTTCATGTGACCTCACCATTGTTCAGTCACCTGTCAATCTTAAATTTTATTAAATTATTAAAAGAATTTTAAGTGTTCTCCTAACTTCTCTTTTCAAAGTCATTAATAACATTGTTGAATAGGTCACATTATCAGGTAGTTTGTTTTAGGAATAAATAGTATAGGAATAAACCTAATGTTGTTCTTGCATTTACAGTATTTTCAGAAATAACAACATGAAGAACCAGGTACGCGTAATGAAATAAGATCATTTAGCTCACTGCTGATTTTATTTGACAGCATTGTTTATCTACAGTACAGAAGGGTAGTGTTTTTCCATCACATACATGCATGGGTACAGTCAGCTCTCGGCCGAGGATCTGGTGTGGCTCTTTGGAGTCTGTAAGTGCTGATAGGTCTTACTACAGCAGAACAGCAATACTGGATAACACCACATTCACCTCCAGTATTTATGTGCTGCTATAGTACATTCCCTTCAGATCTGCAGATTTCTTTCGCTGGGTTATGCAAATGTTGCTGGTGGAACAGAGAGAAACAAAACTCTAGCAGCATATCCATCACCAAAAAAGCATGAGGAGCTGCTAGTGTTGTCACAGAGCATTTGACATGTTCAGTCTCTCTCTCAGTGGCTTCAACTTATGATATGACCATATTATTTTTTAAAGGCATTCTTGCATGACAAAACTAGTGTTAAGATATATTTTAGAATTTAAAAATGTACATATCAGCTATCAAAACGCACCTGTTTATATGTAGCTAAATATTTCTTTGTGTTATCCTCCTGACTACCAGCTATGGAGTTTTGTCCTCTGTAGAGGACATTATGTTTTAGCGATTTCTCGGAGACGTTACATGTCACAGTTTTAAATCTGGATGTCCTGTACAGAGCACATTCAGGGCTTTCCAGAGATACCAAATGATTGGATGTTACACCATGACCACTCCCTCTCTTTGGTCTTTAAAAATGGCTGACATTAATTTAGTGATCAAGTGTAACACCCTTATGGAAATATGATA